ACTAGATTGCAGTTAACAATTTGTGGATTGATCAACAGATCATTAGTTTTTTTTTTTTGTAAAGGTAAACTTTGTGGATAGCTAATTTGGGTTGAATTCATCTTTAAATTTTTTTTAGCATGAATATGGTAAAAATATCATTTTCCTAGAACCGGATATAGAACAACAAATTGCAGAAAATAGTAAACAATAATGTAATTTACATGGCTCGCTAATATAATTTGACAGGCATCCGTGGAAGAGATGTGAAATGAATCGAAAAATAGAATAGTTTTAGACTAGTTCGTAAACTTTAATTTCAGTAAACACATCTAGATGACAAGAAGCTCTATACCTGGCAAACAAACATGTTTCCCTTATTGATAGCAACAGAGCTAAGTTGACATAGGCGGTTGCAACGGTGGTGATGGCACAAATAGTATTCCTGGTGGTGGCGGTGATGCTGGTGGTGGAGGTGTTGATGGCGGTGGCGGTGGTGGTGGAGAAGGCCAAATCTTGCGAATCGGAGGCATTCTGAAGTGAACAGGAGCACTTGGCTTTGGAGCTGGCGGCCTTGATATAATTTGCTTTAACCTTTTCGACTCAAAATTGAACTTATTATGAGACAGAAAATCATTGGAGTCAATTGCATTAGAGGATGAACCGGAAACAGCTTCTTTACTGGCCTGGATTGTTTGACAACTATGTGAAAGTAGGACGCCGAGGATGAGCAACATGAAAATTGGCAGGAAAGAATTGGCTTGATCCGTTGCCATTTGGACAATGATCCTTCAACAGGTTGGCCTACAGATATCGTTGCTAGTTGACTGTGGTTGATATGGAAAAACCCGTCGGTTTGATAGCTAGCCAAGGAAGAAAAGTCGAGCGGGGCAACACTCTCAATAGTGATCTAGTGGTCTAGACTAATACTAATATTAATCTTAACGAAAAAACTTGCTCTCTATGTACAAAATTCCCATCCTTGAGAAAAAGATCAAGAAGGATTCAGGAATTTTTCTGAGTAATGTGATAATTAAAATAATAATAATAATTAAAAAAATATAAATATGTTAAAATTTATAAATTAAAATTTTTGACATTAAATTAAAGAAAGTATAAACTCAATATATTTATTTAATACTTAAAAAAAATATTTAAGATAATTATAATTGTCAACTCGTCCCTCATTCGATTACATAGTTTGTATTTTATAAATTTTATTGTTGAAAAAGCTCTTTCAATTGACATTATTGCAACTGATTAGATCAATGCAAATTTTACTAGCAAATAAACCAAAAGATACATAATATTTCTATTTGTTTACAAAATAATCAAATAATATATCTATAAAATAAATCAAAAAAAGAAAGATTCATAATTTTAAGATATTATTTGACATACAATACTATTTTTTATTAGTTGAATTATAATTACGAACTCAAACTATCAAACAAATAAAAAAAAATTAAATATGAAGTATTTAAAAACTTAATTTGGATTGAAATTTATTTACAATTGAAACCTACATAAATTGTTTTGGAAAAGTGAAAATTATAACCGAGAAAAGGAAGCGTCATTGCAGGACTTAAGTGTAACATTTGAATTTTTGAAAAAGAAGAGTAATTTAGATTTTAACTTTTTTTTAATAATTTTTTTATCTTTTCATGTGGTATTTAAATATTAATATATAAATTATTTTTTGATGAATCTATTTTAATCCCACTTCCTACAACATTGTAAAAATAAAAATAAATTTATTAATATAATTAACTATATAAAACTCTAGATAAATTATACAACTAGTAAATATTTTTTTTGTAAACCAGCGGTGCCATGTGACAATTGTTAGGTCGGCCCCTTGAAAGACGGTTGGTCTGTTACCTTCAGTATAAATTGAGCCTTTATTTCGAACTATCGGCCTTGTTTCTTCTTAGTCGGTGGTTCGTTACAAGCTAATTACTAGCTTTCATTGTGCATCTGCTTTCTGCATTTTTTGGACCGTAAAGAATTAATTAGATTACCCAACTCCTATTAAATTTTGTACTTTTATTGTCTATATAGTATAATGCCACTGCCTACTCTTTGACTCGACTGATGATTTATTAATTTGGGTTTGCCCTTGGCCTTGACTTTGTAATTTGGAGATGTGTAAATAAATAGGTTAGCTTCGTGCAAAGAATGCATAGCAAATGAGCCATTTCTTTCGATCCCTAGCTCACTAAAATATGGCTGCTAAGTCTTGTCTGTAGGCAAACTGTGATAGAAAGATGAAATTATAACACAGCAGATGAGACCATATATTGCTCTGGTATGAAGAAGAGAAAAAATAAAACAGAGAGGAGTTTGTTAAAGGTTCATGCACTTCACTCAACTGTAACCAAAATATTTATACAAGTTATACAAGATTAACACCTGTTAACATAAGAGATAAGTGTTATAAAGCTAACCATGCACAAAGACACCTCATAAACACCGTTGTACCTCATAAACAGAGATAAGTGTTAAAGGTCCTTGCTTCTGTAGATGTTTTTGTGTCTGTTTTCTGTCCACCTTCTCCTGATAGGGGCAGCTCTTCAAGTTGCTGTTTGTAGGATGATAAGTCTCCTCTGATGATCTTTTCCTTAGAAAAAAAAAAGGAAGAGAAAAAAGATAAAAAACCAAAAAAAGGGATATGCAAAGTAAAAATCACTGCTCTTTGAGGACTTGCTGACCAAGAGAGCGTTGCTGGTTTTCCTTATCCAGGAGGTTTGTTTTTGTTTGATTGCTTCTTGTATCCTGCTGCCAGTGTTTGTGTATAGGCAGGATTGTGCTCGTCTTATGTTGGTTACTGAATATTCAAGGACTACTGCTAATCTGTGCAAGCAGTGTGTCCTTCTCTATGTACAACCCCTATTTTACCAACCCGGTCTTCATATCAATGGGAATCTCTGGCAGAGACTAACAATGATATTTCGGCAACATGATAAATAAAATTTCACTTTTTTTTTTTAAAAAAATTGGTTAGAGTTGAGTGTGAGAAAGAACGTTTGAATATATCTCCCTTTTTAGTGCGATTTTAAGTATCTTAAAATTGATTTTCCTGATATTTCACTTTCAAATAAAGGAAAACAAAATTAACAGCCCTAAATAAAGTTTTATACCTTAATTTTCATAATGATGATTAATTATAAAGATTTATTTATATATTTTTTCGAATTATTTTTTGTAATTTGACATGATAATCTTTTTATGTTGATTAATTTACATTTGTACACCACCAGATTTGTTCAAAATTATTTATATTTGACACTTAGCAATACGGAAATCTACCTTGAATATATATACTCACTGCTCTTTTTTTTTTTTTTAAATTATTTATCTATCTGAAAAAAATGTCGAGTAAATATATATGAAATACAATCTTGATTATTGTTCAACCATTCTTCTTTGTCAACAACTGGCTTAATTACAATTCTTTAATTTTTAATACTAATCGTCTCTCCTTCTACATAAATCACAATTCTTTTATCATAAGAATTTAACACGAGATTTTAATAAAAATTTCAAATCTTAATTGATGAGATGTTTTCATATGGAATATAATGATATCAAATCATGTAATGTATAAAAATATTATAGAATGATCGTACAACAGTTGTTACGAAAATTTAATATTATGGTAAAAATCATTTTTTCCCAACACACGAGATAGGACCAAAAATGGAAGCTATCAAGCAATAATGTAATTTACATGGCTCGTTAATATAATTTTGGCAGACACCCATCGAAGAGATGTGAAATGAATGGGAGAATAGAGTAGTTTTATAGACTAGTTCTCAAACTTTAATTTCAATATATACATCAAATTTTCACTAGAGCAGATGAAGCTCTATACCTAGCAAACAAACATGTTTTCCTTATTAATAGCACTACTAGAGCTAAGTTAACATAGGTGGCTGCGACGGTGGTGATAGCACAGTGGTCCTGGTGGTGGAGGTGGCGGTAGAGACGGCTGGCTAATAGGAACTTTGGAGTGAAGAAGAGCACTTGGATGAGGAGATGGCGGGCTTGGTTTAAATCGTATGAACCTTTTCGAAACAAAATTGAACTTTTTATGAGACGGAAACCAATTGCATTAGAGGATGAACCAGAAACAGCTTCTCGGAGATTGGCCAATATTCACTCTTTCCTTTCCATTCCTTAGGCTTTTGGACTTACAATTCTGACTATTTTTGAAAGATAATTGTCTTCATCTAACATATGGTGTGCTGACGATTAGAGCTGGTCTTACTTATAGTAAGTAATTAATTTTTTCAGACTAAATTTCATCATTCTTCTATGATTTTTTAATAATATTTTTTATTTTTGATTTATAAAAGTTTAATCTTTAAATCGTGGTTTTTAAAAGTTATGGCTTTATCAATTTTCACTAATATAGAAAAGGGATTGACTTCTTCTTTGAAACTTGACTTGGTTAAGATATTTATAATTAAGATCAAATAGAGCTTATGTTGTAAAGCTATTATTCATTACGGGTTCGGATAGTACGCAGACAGTGATCTTAGTATACTCATTATATGAAATTGAATATAAATTATAATTTTTAATAATTTAATTTAATTTATATATTTTTTATGATTAATATAATATTTATTAAAATTTAATAAATTTTTTAAATATAATTTTAAATTTTAACTTTCTTTATTACCTAAATTTAATTTATTAATTTAATTTTTATTAATAACATACATAAAAATATTTTAAATTTTTTTCAATCAGAACAGATACAGAGTATTTAACAAATGAATATAATGCTTAAAATATTTAAATACAAGTTCAGAGTACTAATTCAAAAAATTAATCGAATACTTACAAATTTGGATATTTTATTAAACAATAAAATTTAAATTAAATTACTTTAAAAATAAAGAATACCTTATCTGTTAAAATTCTTTGTCGGAGCAGACCAGCTGTTAACATTCCTAATTGGAGCAGACCTTCCCATTCTCTAAAATCCTAAACAAAATAGAGGCCTTGAATTATAAAGTGCACGTTTATTTCTCATAATGCGATCTCCAATGTCACGTGACCTATAAAAGAAACAGCCCCAAAATTTCTTCTGCTTTAACCACTTGCTGAACCCGAAATTTCTCCGTGTTTCTCACCCTCCAAACAGCACTGAAAAGAGAAAAAAACATTAGAAAAAAAGATTGTAAAATGAGAAAAGGAGGGCCAAGAAGGGACGGGAACTACACAAATCCATGTTTGACGATGCACCAGCCATGGGCTTCATTGTTAGTTCATGGGATCAAACGAATTGAAGGCAGGTCTTGGCCTGCTCCAATCAGAGGTAACCACAAAATTTTCTTATAAAAGCTTTGAAATTTATGCTTAAAAGCAAATACCTATATCTTTATTTGGGGGTTTTTTTTTTATGGGGCTGTTTCGTTTTTGAGAAAAAGTCAGGACGTTTTTGAATAAAAGCACCGTTCTTTTATTGGATAAGGCTTTTAAATTTATGTTGAAAAAAAAAATCCCAATTTATCAACTCTTTTTGGTTATATTTTTCTCCTTTGGGTGTTCTTATAGGATTTTAAATTAGCTGTTGAATGATTTTTTATTGAAGTTAGGAACTTCGGGGCTTCGGTTCTTTTTTGTTTTCTAAAATTGGAATGAGAAAAGGACTTTTTTTTTCCTTTCCAAAGGTATAGGTATATCTAATTTTTTCTCAAAAAGGAAGAAAAGGTCAGTTATTAAATGTTTTAGCCACATTGTTTTGTAAATGTATTTTTATTTCTTATCTTTGTTTATAGTGGCTTTGAGTAGAAACTATACTTGCTGTTGGGAGAAAAAGGGCACCAAATTTGGTGTTGTCTAAATTTTATAAAGTTTTAAACTTTACTGTTATGATTGTGGACTGAGAAAGAACACTGATTTTCTATTGGTTTTGATGTTTGTAAACCTATATATATATATATATTATTTATGTTCCGAATGCTTGTAAAAGTTTATAAATTGGCTCTATACTCAGAAAATTGGGGTGAGACAGAAAAGGATATGATCAGGTCACAAGAAATTAGGGGTTCAATTTGGTTCTAGATTTTGTATGACTTTTTCGATTGATGAACGAATTTTAAATGAGCAAATGCATCTATGACTAAACAATTCTCAATCATGGCTTAGTAAGTATATAGAGGTAAAGGAAGTATAATATGTGCTTAATTTAGATGGTACTTCAGTTTACTATAATTAGACGTTAAGGCTTTGCAAGCAATATATGTATATTTTCAAATCCTGTTGGAAATGCAGTATCCCCAAAGCGGAAATGTGTTCTTAGAAGACTGCAGCAATTTATTTTGTGCTTCAAGCTTCTTTGAATTGGTCCCGAAGTGGGAATGATTTTCATTTAAGGAGAAATTATGAGATTATTATTAACCATTTTACTCTTTTACAGTCTTGATGCATTTGTAGCTAGTATTTCTTTTCTTCCACATACAGCAAATAAAGCTGCGTCTAATTATATTATAATTTCTTTCTAGGCCGCCTTTGGATACATGCTGCCGGTAAAGTCCCAGATGAAGCTACAATTAAAGCAATGGAGGATTTCTATAGGGAAATTTATGCAGTGAATGGAATTACTGATCTTAAGTTTCCAGAACATTACCCTGTTTCAAGACTGCTAGGTCAGGCCTTTCTATACTGCATTTACTCTGTTCTGTTTTTCCCTGGTGGTTTATTGTTTGTTGTTCATTTTTAATTTGCATTTTTCCTGGTAATAGATCATTGCAAATTGATAAAATAATTTTATGGGGTCTTTTAAATTGTGCAAATATTTCACCTGAACTCTGAAGCCATTGTTTAAATTTTTATCATTTTGTTCTTATTTCTTTCTAATCTGGATTAATTATTCTATGGTGTAGGGTGTGTTGAAGTGGTTGGCTGTTTGAGATGTGAAGAATTAGGTCAATGGGAGGTGCTACCTGAAGGGGTGGGCAACTTAGGCTTTATCACATTATGTTTTTAGATATCTCAACATGATATGCAACACTTCCAATTTACTCATTCGTTTTTTTCCCCCTCCTTTTTGGTCCTTGGTGTCTCCAGGTTAGGCTAGAAGGACAAACGGATTTTTGCTGGCTCTGTGAACAACCAAAGGTGTTTACTTTCATGCTGGATAGATTGCTATTTTGTGTTCTACAATTCCTTTTTTTTTTTTAATTGGATATTATATGTGATTGAAACTTTTTTGTTTTTCATTTTGTGTAGAAATTATTAATCCCATTTGAGATGCGAGGGTTCCAACGCGTTTATAATTTGGAAAAGAAGGTAACCATGTGCAAGAAGTTATGGCACTCTCTCTGATTTGGCATTAAATTGATACTGATTGAAATATCTGTGGCAGATATATGAGGCTGCTGTTAGAGGTCTTGTCCCGGTTGAAGGTCCAGCACCAGTAAAATTTCCGCTACCAAATCTGAGAGATCCCTTTTTCCTTGGAAGCCAGGATCCATTTTTGTGTCCTTTCCTGATTCAAAAGCATCTGCTGTTGAGAAATCATCTAGTCTCAGTGCAGCGATAGCTGGTGCACGAGCAGCAGCTACGCAGTTTTCAAAGGACCCAAATCTTCATAAAAGTACCATCCAGAAGAGTACACCTGTTTCAACATCAAGTAAGTACGACATACTTGTAGAAGACAATGGAATGCCTGATAGTAACTTAAATGACGAATCTATAAAGCAAATTCAGCCTCCAATCCATGCGGCTACTTTGAGGAAGAGAGAAGCTGTAGTCACAGTCAATCTCCTGCATATCTGAAACAGCATCCTGGTGCCCCTTCCAAGGTTAGCAGTTTATTTTACTTCGATATAAATGTTGGCCTTCTATTCCATTGCATGATTAAAGTCCATGATATGGTTGTCTCGTCCCACCCAGTAACTGTATAATTGAACATTAAATTGGGGGGGGGGGGGGCGGGTTGTTGTGGTGTTGGGTGGAATGGTAATTTGCATTCAAACATATGGAACAATTGTAACTTAAGTTGCCACTTCTAATCTTTTTTCTAATATCTTTGTATGATTGCTCCATCTTTCTATATTTAGATTTTTGCTGCCGCATTAAGGGGGCTGAAGCCATCATGAATATCAACTGATTTTTAGGGCAACGAGCTTGTATATATAACCACACTTGGGTGGCGTAATGATTTCTGTAGAAATCCAAGTATAGCTCTTGAAGCAGGCAAACAGGGGTGGATTGCTTTTTCTTTCCCTTTCTCATATTCTTCTCCGTCTGTATCAATAACTAAATTCTCCATGGATGTCTTGTTCTAGGGCCTTGATAATGATAATTGTTGTACTAAAAATAATATATGTGCTGAATTTTCCTGGATTATTGTAATTTATAAAACTCTGATCAAGTCCATGGAAATAGAATGTCTGAGATCCATATGTGGGTGTTTTAGCCTGCTTGATGAAGTTCAATTTTGATAGAAGCAGTTGAGTTGTTAGTATTGTGGATAAATGTTATACTTTGTTTCTAGACTTGCTAAACTTACTATTTATGGTTAATATGTTTGAAACTCAATACTTGTGTATGGACCCAGTTTTATGACTTAGTAAAACATTTGAGTAGTGAGCGAGGGAGAAATTATATAATGTTTTGTGATTGTTTTCTCTTGTCATGTACAGCTGAAATTTACATATCGTTGATGAAATAAGGATCTTTGGCACTTAATAGGATTGATAGAGAATAGAGATTTGCCACGTCTAATGAGGAGATTAACTTTACCATGCCAAGTCAATGATTCCCAAAAAAGATAAAAAAAAAATCGGGAAATAGTAAAATGCAAACCCAAGTTACAGATGCTCCAATCAAATTAAGTGGTATACACTAATTAATTCATTGTCAAAGAAGAAAATGTTGGTGCAATAAGAGTTGAGCTTGAAAGAGAAAATCCAGAAGAAGAATGGAGCCATTCAATATCCATGATGGATATAGAACATGTCAAAGTATATCTTTCTCTGCCTCTCACATTGCCCTCTCTTATTCTTCCCATGAAACATATAGAATATCAAATCGATAAGGAATAAAATGGAAAATAATAGAGTTTCCTATAGCAACTCTTTTCCTTCACTGCCAAGGCAAACATACGTCGGGTTGACAAGTTCATAATCTGACTTATGCCAAAATTTGGTCACCATTTAATATTCATTATTCCCATAGTCTTCCAACAAAGGCATATAAAAAGAGCTAGCATGCCCTGCAATAAGATCGATTAACAAATGCTTCAACAAGATGAAGAATCAGAAAGTTTTTATTGATATTTCACGCTGGTTTGTTTTCATTTTGATTAATGGATTGCTTCTTTTACATTTTGGTTTCACTAGTAAGGTGGTAGCACGCAAGGTTCCTTCTGGTTCATTCCCTCACTTTGTAGCTAGCTATGGTTTGTCTTTCAAATTGCAGGCAGTGCCCAACAGGGAGATTCAAGTATCACCACCACCACCCCCTACAACTGGTACTATTATTACCATGCTCGCTCCGGTGCCATCGCCATTGTCAGGAGCAGCATCATCTCCATAGCATGCTATATGTATAAGTACATAACCGAATAAATGTTTGTTTTGTTTGTCATCATTTTTGTACTTATGCACCAATCCTATGGTTTTCATTTTCCTTCAAAGATTTATATATTGGCTTTAGATGATATAGCAATCCTCACTTTAGAATTTCAATTTGTGTGGCTATATTATAACCTCAAACTTTAATTTCATTTATTTGTATGATTTGGCTGTTCAAGGAGTGTGCCAAATCTGGAAACCTCAGACAAATGCGAACTAATTAAGTATAAAGATTTCTAAGTAATGCTTAAAAGACCATGTCAAAGTCTTTCTGAAGCTTTCTCCCATGGATAATGTGAACTGCAAAACCATGACTTGTTACTTAATGTAATCTTTGGTTGGTAAAGTCTCATAAACCTTGTAACCATAAAAAAGGCATCTATCTCTGGCCTGGTGCTGCAAGAAAGCACTAAAATGGCCCTCATTTCATACTTCCTCACTGTCTTTTTGATCCACGGGCTGTTACTGTCACCTGCAGCTTTCGTGGGGAGGGGTCTTTGAAACTTGCAAAGCTTGCAAAAGATGCTAAAACACCACCACCACCACCTTCCCCCATGATCAATGGTATTGTTCAGCAACTACCTCTACCACCATCGCCACCACCACCATTACCATGACCAAGACAGTCCCTTTTCAACTTCTCAAGTCTAACTTCAAACGTTCATAACTTCCTCGTCTGATGTTGGAATAATTGAGTGATATTTTCTTTGTTGGAAATCTTAGAGTCTCATTTCAAATGAAATTAATTTCACTCAAAAACTCAAAGTAATTTTTAACATATGTCAAATTTCAGTATATGCTACATATTTCACTCTTATAATGTTGAATACTTATTTTATTTGAGCTTATAATATATCAAAAGTGAGTTTGAATCAGATAACCTTTTATGATTGAAGTGAAAATTCTCTGAAATTCTTCTCAAAGTAATTTTAACGCGTGAGTATCACGTCAATTTCAATTCCAATTTCTTACAAATTTTTAACGAAAAAGTTTTTTTTTCGTTAAATTGTAATTTGTCTACACTTATGTTGTATGATATTTAATTTTAATTAAAGCTCGAGTCTTGGCAACAAGCAAAAAAAGAGCAATTAAAGTCAAATTAACTCTGAGTCACTTAAGCAATATGAAGGTGTTAGTATATGGAAACAGTTTTGAAATGGTAAACTCTCCAAAACAACTACAATTCATCAATGAACTTCTTTTACAACCATTATTCCATTGATTTTTTAGCAAAAGGCAAAAAATTACAAGTTGCAACAGATCTGTCACTTTCATGTAATTATCGTTTGCTTTAGTTCATAGTAAAGTCACATAAAATATTATTTAATTTGTGACCCTAAAGGCTAAAACTATATTAACTTGGAAGTCTTCTAACCAATGACTTCAAGATGCTGACAAAGGAAGCATCACGAAGGTACAAAAAGAAAGAAAAAATGGATAAACAAGTGATGGGGATTGCTGTGTCTCTTTCTCTGAACTTTCCAGTCTGTTGACTTTGAATACACCTAACACAAAATAGAACAGCTGGCTCCCAAAGTAATTATAAATTGGTTCTCAAAATTATTGTCTCATTAGATCCTCTTACTAGTTCGAATACCACCACCACCACCACCTAGTGGCAATGTTATTATTCATCGAAACCGCCCTCCTCCTATCTTATCACCCCCATCTCCACTACTACCGTCACCGCCACCACCAACCCCGCTGTATGCATAATCTATAGTGGCCACCACCATGCTATCTTCATAGCATTTGATCACTTGTAAATGTCAAACATTATGGTTCGAGCTATATCTATATATGTTCCGTTTAATTTCTTTCTTTTTTTCATTTCTTGTGTGCCCGATTGTTGATTATTATGCACCTCCCAAGAAAAAATCATTGATTTTATTTTGTATAATATTCGAAGTATTACTACATAATATATCTTTTGCACCCAAAAAAAGATACAATATTCCAAATATAAAAATCTGCATCCTAAATAAGTATGGAGCATTGTAAATAATTGACTATTAATTGATACATATCTTGTTCTCTAGCACTTGACAAATCTAGCTCAGAAAGCATTAATAATTGTATGGGAGCAAAAACCTTGAACTTCTGACTTGAAGATGTTAGCTGCATTAATTACTCAACTGCCTCTCAGAGCCACCAAAGTTGAAAGTAGTAAACTAAAGAAGTATCAATTGAAATTACGTAAGAGGATTCTAATTATTTTCCGTTGACTTGTCAAACTTCAACTCTCTATCCATCCTTGAAGCTTCAATCTATGGACTTAATAAAAGGCAGGGCTCTGCTAGTGTTAAACCAGGGGCATCATCAGAAATGGATGTCAATTCTTGCTTGCTTGCTTTCCTGCTGATCCATGCCCTTCTATTTTCATCACAAAGTGATCTCGCAGTCCAGGCTGCTGAATCTGTTTCTGGCTCATTCTCGGATCCATTTCCTTCACATGATCTTTATAAGTTGAAAGTTGTGTCCAAGAGGACTCAACGACCACCTCTACCATCACCAATGATTCATGCTCCTTATCACTTTAAAAGTCCTCCTCCATTTCCTCCACAACCATGCCCGCCATCACCACCACCACCACCACCTTCATCTCTGTGGCAACCACCTCTGTGATTTTGGGATACCTGGCACCAATCTTACAGTTGATAAAAGCTTGATATCAGGAGCTTTTGTTGTAACTTTAAAGTCATAGCGAGAGTAGTTTGTGAAGATTTGAGGCAATCCCTCTTCTTCTGTAATAATTTTGTTTATATATAGAAATAGTTCCAATGATTGGTCATATTTGTTTTTGAACTTTAATTGCTCGCTGTTGGAAAAGTAATTCCCAACGTGGAGATCAAGCCACTGGTAGAACTGGAGGGAAGCATCAGCTTTGAAGGTTGAAGGAGGACTCTCGGAGGAGCAACGATGTCGTTCTTGATTAAAGGGGCTGGTTGCAGTAAAAACTCCAGTTGTGGTCGTTTTATCTTTTAACAGTTAGCTGTATTCAAAACGGTCTTGGCGATGCCGTTTCCATTTTTCTGTTTCTTATTCGTTGATCCTATGCGCACCATTGTGGTGCGTTTTGGGGTTTTCTAGTATCTGCTGCAAGGCTCAACGGCCATGTCTTGTGCTGTTAATTTACCGTTAAGCTGCTTCTTGTTGTGTGTGTGCAGCTCCTTCGTAGATCGCGGTTTTAGTCTCCATAGCCTAAAATCTAGGAAATGTTGTTATTGTTACAAGTATAAATGCAAGTTTAAAAATGAGATCCGTGGATTTTGGATCTCACTATTTCTTTTCTCTGTTTCTTGCTCTGTTTTTCTTAATCATTCTTGGAATTTCTGTCTTTGCACTCCAGAAATATAAGGACCCTTCACAAGTTACAATGGGCGCTTCAATTTTTACTTGCAGAGGACTAATTATAACTGAATCTCCAGTAACCAGACCGGTACATTGTGTCTTGCCATAATCTGTCATGCCAAATCAATTACATTGATCTGTACTGGCCTACAAATTTAAATTGCAGGATATATATGAACTGAACTTTTCTCTTGTATAGATAGGATGGGGAAATGGTTATAAAGATGGAAAAAAAATTGGGGTTTCTTGTTTCTTTGAATGTGGATTTCTTGAGTTCAGATATAGTTGATGTAATTACTTTATTCAAGACTGTCTTGCCTTGTATTTGAGGCCTTTCAATGGAACGACTTACCAGTTTCCATTCATGTTAATTCCTAGTTTATCGCTAAGGGTTGCTGGGTTGTATTTGGGCCACCTTATCCTTCAAAACTGACATGTGGAACGTGCAGTTGCCCTGTTTTGTATAAAACTGAAATAAAGAGAAATCCGTTGGAAGCTTCCCTTATTTCATAATAAATCAAAGGGAAACAAAGAAGCTGACATCGTTAAGGATCACTTGAGCGATATAAATTTGTGCATTTACATTTGGCAAGCCATTGAAAATTGATCCAAAATATGCATAATCTGATGCTTCAATTTATCTATCAGTCATGTTCTCGAAGTAGAAGGTAGGTGATTATAAAAATCCAAATGAAATTGTGGCTACGCACCTTCCTACACCAACTCCATCTCTTTGGTCTATTTTCCTTGGCCTTTATGATATACAGCTCAGTCTCACGGTCGCTGATTTCAACAATTTACGCATCTTGTCAAAGCATATGCAATTGTGGTAGCGGACTGTTCAAACGAAGATATTTTCAGTTGAAAACAGGGTTTTCTCTAAGTAAAGCATTAGCTTATAAGTTCAAGGCAAACGGAGTTCTCAAGAAACAAGAATTTATCATGGATATTTCTCCTTGCTTGCTGCTGGTTATTCTTATCCATGGCCTGGTGTTACAAACTTGTCATGCTAGTAGTAAGCTCCATGTAATGCCTCAAGCTCTGGATATTCATGATATGGATACAGTGAAGCTGAGTCAGCCAAAACTCTCTGCTCAAACGAAGGTAGAAATCGGCAGAAGAATTGGGAAACCAATCCCGGTCAGGCCTTCCCCAATGCCTAACGGAGCTGTTCATATGTCTGTTCCTCCAGGACCGCCTGACAATCCAAGAGTTCTATTGCTTCCCCCACCATCACCTCGGCCGCCACCACCGCCTTATATTTCATAAATCCACGTATTTCCCTTTTTGGTTTCTTACTCTCCATGGGGAATAATGTTGTGTAATTGTATTATTTTCCGGACTATGATGTAAGAAAAACTTTTAAGCATTGCAAATGCTGTTGTTTAAGGATTTGGCGTGCTTCTGTCTGAAGCAACAAATGCTGTGAGTGGGAAACCAATACCTTATCTTTCTAAGCAATGCAATAAGGAAAAAAACTTAATTGGAATGGAAAGTCCCCAAAGATTACAATTAAGAATGGTCACGTAAGGATTGAAAGTTTCAAATCCGTCCTAGGTTCAGTTCTCTATACAAGTGAATAGAGCAAGGGAACCACCCATGATCTATTCCACTTTTCTAATTAATTAACTCCTTCAATATGTGCAATTAAATCATTGAAAACCCACATTAGCTTAGCTCGGAATCCAACCAATTAAGGGTTGGCAATTTGACTAATGGTTTTGATCAAACAATGATCGATTGAAGAACTTAGTGCAGGATAAGAGGAAAATAAGAAGAAGAAAAAGAGATGTAAAGCGTAGCCTTATAAAAGACAAACTCTAACTCCAATGCAAAGAAGAATATTCATTTTTATTCATACTTTTGGTCAAACTAAATATAAAAGAGGGTAAATTACAACCTATATAACCAATTATTCAGCAACCCAATTGCCATGCACCACGATAAATAAGAATCCATTATGTCTTTAAACAAATAGTATGATATGTATTGTTTAGACTTTGCTAATCTTGTAATATCTCCCTTATATTTAAAACAATTTCTAAACTATATAGAAAAATTTAAATAAATTTTTATTTTTTTATTACTTTCAATTAAATTTTTATATTTTTATTTTAAATCAAATAAGCCTTTTGGGTTAATGATTGATTAATTATTTTTAATTAAAATGTCACTTATTATTTTATGTTACTTGATTCTAATGTGGTATATTGATATATATGTTATGGTAGATAATAATGTGACATACTGATATAATATAATAATATGTCAATGTAGTATTTTTTATCGTTCACGTCAATACCGTATGATATAAAAAATGATAAGTGACGTTTTTAATTAATGAAAACTAATCAACCGTTAATTATAATAATTTATTTAATTTAAAATAAAAATACAAAAACTTAATATATTTAAATTTTTTTAAATAGTTCATGAGCTTTTTAAATCATTATACGAAAAGAAAATACTAAAAAAATGAAAATGTTAAAAAGAATAACCAAAATTGAGCTAGCTCAAACTTTCTTTATTTTTCTTTTCCTCCCCAAAAACTAAATAATAAATATTACTCAAAGGGTAATTGGTAGTACTACCTAGAAAGTCCCACCATGATGGGCGGTTCGAGGTTTGAACTTGAGCAATGTTGACATTGCTAATAGATTACTAAAAAAAATTAAAATCAACTGCATGTGTTGTGCAAGATACATATATTACTCAATTTATATGCAAGTATGCTTACCGCGTAATTGAACTGACACTCAAGATAATTAATTAATTATTTTTAATCTTGAAGAAAATACAGAAATTTTTTTGATTAACAGTATTAACTTGCAAATTAATTAAGTCTATCTATTGGTATATAAGAGCCAAAATGGTGCTAAGTTTCCATAGGCTATATACGCTTTAATCATAATAGGTACAATGAAGGCATCCTTATCCTTATTTATAATTGTAACTCTCTTGCTCTTTGGAATAATTGATGGAATCGGTGCAAGAATGTGTTATGGAAGGGATATCCCACTGCATTTACATCAAATGTCCCGTGAAAGAATGGCCCTGGAAGCAGTCCAACGGGTGAAGTCTAGCAGGTTTCCATGGCATCGTATATATCCGCCACCTGAGGGCAATCATAGGAAAGCTCAAACTGGTCCAATTTCAAAGATAATTCCACGAGCGCCGCCACCACAACAGCAGTCATCACTGCAGCCAGAATCACCCCTGGTGCCACCACCACCGCCGCCGCAACCGCCTCCGCCACCATTACCCTCCTTCAGGCGTAGCTTAGGTGACGAAAGACGTGGGAACAGAGGAGGGTATCCTAAAATGGACCCATGATGATTTCTCTTGTACTAAAAGAAATATTAAGATTTATAATTGTTAATAATACAAAATTATAATTACTATGGGGAAGTGATTTATCATCTTCGAGGCTTTTACAAACAAGACAGAAGTAGAGCCTTGCTTAATTAAAGTTGATGGGACTAGGGAATTTGTTAATCAATTTCCTGTTTCTTCTAATAATGACATCCAATAATCAATAATGTTTGTTCTTCCAGTGCCCCTGATTTAAATATTTTTATGATTAATTAGTCACTAGGCCTAGGCATATAAGGGACCATATTCTTCTTGGTGTTGAAAGCATAGGAACCAAAAATGGATGTCAATTCTTGCCTGCTTATGTTCCTGTTGATCTATGGCCTCCGACTTTCACATGGCTCTCACATTGTCAAGGCTGCTAGATCTGCTCCAGAGACTTCTTGACAGGCAATTCCTCCCCGTAATGAGTTGAATGTAGTATCCAAAAGGGTCATTGGCACCTTGCCACCGCCAGCGCCTTGTTCAAAAAGATGAATAAAAAGAAAATATATTGAAACTTAATCAAGCCGAGAGAAAACCATGAAGACAAAGACACAATGTTTTGTTTTTCATTGAGCATATATTTTCAGTAGTTACAGAGCAGAGAGAACAAACAAAAACAAAAGACTAATACATAACTAAACAATAAAACCACCAATAACTGTTTCTGCTATAGCATGATATTAGTGGTTGATATCCTAGTATTCACAACTCAATATGGTAAATCCACGTTGCTAAATTGACATAATGCTGAAGACAAAAAACTGAAAATAACTAATGCATAAACCACCGTCACGCCATCACTTTAACAGCCACCTATCAATAATATTGCTATCGTATTTGCTTGGAAGCAGAGCTAGCTTCTTGTTGCAGACTCTTTATTGTAACCTTGATTTGGCACTGTCCAGTTTGTAACTTTTATGTAAAAAGATCAGAGACAATCTGTTTCTCTTTAAATACTTCCATAACTTCATCAACCCGTTTCTATCTCTCTCTTGCTGCAAGATCCCTTCATCTTCATACAATAGTTTGATTTTGAAATATATGTATATATATTCCACTGTTTTTGTTGATAACTTGAGTCTCCCATTTCATTGCCTAATTCAAGGAAACCGTGAAAATTCAACGATAATTTGACAATTTATGTATCTTTAACAATAATTTTTTTTTAATTTGCAATAAGATCAGTTCAATTCATGCAATCAGACGCTACACAGATCTTTTATTTCAGCTCTAAAATGAGTTCTTATAACCTTGAATTTTTTTTTCTAGTTAGTTAATATTGGATATAGTTGCAGTATTTTGACATCTTATATATTATCAATTGCAAAATGATAATTTCTTGATCTAAGCCTGTGAAAACAAAAACCATTCCTCCTGTACATTTTTCTTCTACAAATACACATTTTTGCAATTAAATAAGTTCTAGCAGTTGGAGATCAAGTTACTTCATGTTTTTCTAATTGCATTGGGCAATCAATTTTGTTTCTGTAACTTACAAGAGCACTACTTTTTTATAACAAGAACAAGGAATCTCTGACCGAACCCCGTCTGCAACAATTAATTATTGAAAATGTGTTACCGATCTTGAAATCCAAACCAGGGTTTGCATGGTTGATTACTTGGACTATTAAACAATGGTCAATCAGACAATACAGATTAAACAAAGGGGAGGAAAGGCTGTTGTTCATGCTTTTGATCAAACTCGGTATTTGAAAAGTGGGTTACGAATTAATAATCCTATAACTTTTGGTTCTGCAGGTTGGATTATTAGACACATAAATAGTGGAGAAACTAATTATGATCTCCATCAGAAAGTTAGTGATACAGTTCAAAATCAGTACCAACACAGTTCTTGTAAAAGGGAAGAAAGGAATAACAAAAAACCAGGCAATTTCTCTTTGGCCAAATTTTAGGTTTGAAAGAGAATTAGTGCATGGTTCTTGCACAAAAGCCACGGTAACCTAATCATTAGCACAAGAAACACCCCTTGCAAGCGTCGGAGTCCTCCGATTCCTCACAGGCAAATAGCTAACTATTATAGTAATCTCGCTCAATCTCATGGGCAACAGAAATTAGCTTCAAACATACAACAAGGTATGCCCTCATCACCAAAATCTCCAGAGATTCTCCAGTCTTGTCCCAAACCATTCCGAACAAACTCCGGGCTAGACCTAATAACATTGCCTCTAAATTCAATATTAGCATCACTGGGGAGTAATCCCGCATGAGCAGCAGGGGATTCTGCTGGTACCTTTTCAACCATAACACCATTGGAAATGTGAGGGAACTGCTGAATTATGGTTTCTGAAGTAGCCAAATCCACTGCATAAAGATTAGTAAATTCAATTCCAAGGTATGGATGGTGGACTCCAAGCATCTAAAAAGCTATATTGATTGGAAGAAAAGGAATGTACATCCCATGATAGAACTCGATCCCAATGGCTTGTCCTTTACGATTCATGATAGGTCTCCCAATGAACTCTTCACTAGCCATCTCGCAAGTTGCCTTGCAAAGTTCCTGGCAATCAATTTCAACACACTCATCGATACTAAATTTACCTGTCATTGTGTATAATTGATTTTAATCTTCAACAACTGATTACGAATCTGTTTATTCATTGTCCTTTGAACCCTATCTGTTTATTCATTGTGTATAAACAAATTAGCTGAGTTCCACAAGCTATGCGTCTCTTTAATCCCGAACGTAAAATAGGAATGAAGATTCAGGCATGCATGCTCCTAACACTGCTGCTCTTCAGAGTTGCTGGTTTTGGTGCTCTGTCTTGCCATGGCAGAGAGGTTCCCCTTCTTTTCCATCAAATGACTCATGAAAGAATAGTGTTGCAGGTTGTCGCAGCTGAAAGACCAAATAGACAATTTAGAGTAAGAAGGAAAACCAGGCCTCGGATTTTGTCCCCACCTATGAAGAATAATACCTACCATCAATCTGCAACAATTTCGCCACCATGGGTGATTTAAAATTCAATTCAATCTTGCTTTCAAAATTGGGCCATGCGCAAGTTTTGTTCTTGATTTATGTTCTCATAGGGATTATTGTCACATTTCCTCTACTAGATAACGGAATTTGGATCAATTTCTCTGAGTAAAATTATTTATATAAAATATATAAAAGTACAGATGTTGAAAATTTTGTTAATTGATGAAAACGGACAGTTTTAGTTACTCATCTTAAAATTTCTAAATTACCATTTGTCATTTTCAATAAATTTTAATTATTATACAAATAATATTTATATTTGCAGGTAGTAGCATGAGACAAGAAATGAAATTCAAATTAAGAAATAGGTACAATTGCTAAATGGCATAGAGTCCAATCTCAATTTTAATTTCTTATTATTATAAATATTAATAAGATTATCCAATATTTTAAAAAAGGAATTCTAATTGTATTGAATTAATTTCTTTAAAATATTTTTCTTGATTTATAGATTAATATTATGAAATTTGAATTATTCATACTTTCAAATTTCATACTTTAAGAATATTTGTCTTTCTATATAATTATTATTAAAATAAATAAAAACAAATATTTCACCTGTAATGCTAATGACAACTTCTTTTTTTTTTTTTACCCAATCAAAGGCACTTTTATTAAGTACCCAGATAATGGTGCATAGTCCAGAGCGCTCAAAACAGAGCACTGTTAAATAGGAAAAGCTGGAACCCATCTTCCAACACCCAGCATTACAGAATAAACACCATCAATACAAATAGCTCCTCACACTCAGCATTACAGAATAAACATCAACAACAAACCCCATAACACATAATAAAAACATCCCTCACGTAAAAATAAAGCACACCAGACAGAGGTCCATGATGTACTTCTCTGTCAAGTGTCAGCTAAAGCTTTGCTCTCTGCCTGGGCAGAGTTCTTAGCAAAGTCTAACTCCAAATTTGAGGATGCATATGTCGCTATTGCAGTATTTTCAACCTGCTAAAACAAATTAAGATGTTATCCTCGGAACAAAGACTTAACTAGTTATGTTACATCATCTCAAAATGGATAAACTAATAAACTCCTTTATTAATAAAATAAATTGAAGTGCATATTTTTATGTAATCGCACTGAGCATGAAAATAATTAATTTCACAATTTTTCCTTTGAAAATTTGAAATTATATGAAATTACATTAGCTATTTGATTCTGAAATCCTCAAAAGTAACAAAATTTTCAATTTAAAAAGTTATAAATGTAAGCTTACCTTTGCAAGGACGTATTCTATATCAGCGACAAATTGATCATTACATTCTTCACAACAATATACATGATCATTTGAGTATCTTTCTTCTTCACAAATATCGCAGTAATACTTTCCAGAATCATCTTCAACAAATGATACCTTCATAGTTAAAGAATGAATATGGTATCTAGATTTTACAATACAAGGTATGAGAACACATTCCAAATGAAAATTGATGGCACAATCTAGACATCGATAAAAGGGTCCTCCGCAACCTTTTTGACATTCACTACAACGAAAGAGAGGCTCCCCTGACACATTCCTATAATATTGCGCAAAGAGTAGCTGACAATTTGCCCCAAAATAGTAAAGATTGTGAATGTGGGACTCACATTTAAATGGCCGCCTTAAGGAATTAGCACATATAGAATGGAGTTTGATGTCACAATGTTCACAAGTGTATCTTAAATAAACAATGCTTAATTGCGGAAGGCGGCAAGCATAGCACTCTGAGTCTATTTCGTCATCCAATCTGATAATCAACATGTGTTCCAAATGAAATGGGACTTGCATCTTTTGTGGTAATCCAAGACAAGATTCATGAACAACATAAATGCATCTAGGGCTGGGGCAAAAATAGGCTGGGCCTAAGATTGGCAGTTGACAGATTGTGCATCTTATTTGACCTACAGGGTCATTAGAATTGCCAAGGACAAGCTTATGCGGTGGTAGAAATGGTGTAATTCAGTTACTCTCTCCGTCTGTTTTTTTTGCGAAACCCCAATTTTATGAGCTGTTAGAGTAGCGCAGTTCACATCAAGCTTGAAATTACACTCCTCACAAAGATAAATGAAGCCAAAACATGTGTCTCTACACTCATCACGTATAATGATACCGATATCAGGATGATTTGTAGTATAGAGGATGAGAGGATGACTACAATGAAAAGGATGTTGTATCTCATATGGTAATTTAGCACATTTTTCATGCAGGTAGTACTTATTTTGGGTTCCTACAGCTTCTTGGTAAGGATCAGGGCATGATGTACAGATGTAGCAAGGACCATTAAGTACCAGACGACAAGCATTGCAGTATTCATTTTCTTTTAACTTTTCAAACAATCTCATAGGATGTTCATGGATGATTGGTCGAATCTGCATTTACAAAGAAATATGAATAATCAAAGAATAAACAAACTCATTTCTTAAGGATTATATATATATAATTCTCAGCATAATTAATATAAAGTACATAAAAATGTAAAATTCTTTTTGTGAAGTCTAAAGTCTGCCTAAATTGGATAAAAGTTAGTTAATATATTGAATGATAAATGCAATAGTTGATATATTGTATGATAAATGCAAACCAGAAGTTGTTGACGGGTGTGGATGCCATCAATCCCTTCATTATGCTCCATTTCCTTTACTAACAAAGCTTTGTTATGAATAGATTGGGGAGCCGAGGGTGAGACCTTCTCAGATGAAATTTTATCCTATTGAAACATACATTTACTAGTATCACATCGAGACTTATCAAAAAGACAAAAAAATATATGCTATTCAACATCAGAAAGGGAAACTATGGCAAATAATTAGACCCAAGGAGATGTAGCTAGGGTTAGTGCTATTTCTAATGTATCCTACTTTCCACTTATGAAATCTCTCTTTTGGTTTTCAAAACATAAAAAAAAAAAAGTGTTGCAAATAATTATTACCTCATTGAGAATACATTGAATGTGAGCAATATATGTGCACTTTTCACAATAATAAATAGGATGCACTGGATTCCTTTCATCTTCACAAACATCACAAAAGTATTCCCGGGAATCATCTTCTTTAACCGAGTCTATAAAGATGAGTGGATGTCAGTGATATCTATGTTTAGCTGAAGATGGTATTGGAACACATTTAAGATGGATGTTGAAATTGCATGGCACACAACGATAGAAATTGGCACCGCAAAGCTTGTGACAGGCATTGCATCGGAAACGTTCTTGTTGACGATTTATCCAGATATTTCCGAAATAAGTGAGAAGGTGGTTGTGGCACTTATGTTTTAGGGTGGGAAAGAGTTTAGCACAGTGAAAATCAAGGCGGAAGGTGCACATTTCGCACCAATAGCTAGGGCTTAAAGATGTTCGAAATAAAATATCGGCTCCACAAGCAGTGCAATAGTTGCTGCTGCATTTATAGTGCAAGCGAAGAGGGTGCGAAGGATGAAAAGGATGATCAAGTGTTCTCGGTATCTCACACAACTCATGAAGGAAGAACTCACATCTTAAACAGCCATAGCACATTTCCGATAGACGCTTTTCACACCAACTACAGTTATAGTCATCTTCTTTTATCTTCCTATATTTAAAGATGCTCAGCTTTTCATAGTGGCTGTAATGCTGAATTTCCTTTTTCTTACCGTCTTTAAGCCTCTGCCACTCCTCTTTAGGTAATGAATCATTAGCTGAAGAAGCGCATGTTAAATCAAGAATAAAATCGCATGAAGAGCACTTGTATCTGGAGCCGGCAGAAATATACAAGCATTTTTCACAAATGAAATCCAGAGGACGCTCCAATTGTAGCTTAAGATGGTGCTGCGAGTGGAGAGGGTGAACAATCTCTTGAGGCAGATGACGCAGTTCACTTGCACATGATTCGTGCAGCCGCCAAGCCTCGCACCTTCGACAAGTATAGCCCTCATCTGAGATTTCCTTTCCACACACATCACAAAAGTAATGTTTCCCACTAAGTTCGGGAATTAGAATGTAGTAGGAAAAGGTATGTTCATGACTACATGCCAGTTTGATATCCATCTAAAACAAGATAGAAAATGGACAAAACAATGAGATATACAAAGAGATTGATAGAAAGAAAGAATCATAGAACAAATATATATAATTTAACAATTTATACTTCTTCTAGTTAATAATAGTTACTCCTTAATTAAGAGATATAAGGTCCAAAAGAATTTTTCTTTCCATTGACCTTGCCTAATTGCCAAAATAACTGCTAAGTAATTCAGTCAGCAATAAGAGCATTTAATATAAGGAAATAGAAAATAAAACTTCAGTGTCATTGGGTAAAATAAAAAGACATGTAAATCATCTGAAAAACATTTAAATACCTATAAAATTAAAAAAATGACTATAATTTCGATAAATTATGGGGTGCAATGAGGGCAAGGAAGGTAAATTGTGAAAATATTATTGTACAGGTATAATAAAGGAAAGTTGCACTTAAAATAAAGTAATATTACATATATAGAACAATTGTTTCTTGAGTGGGAAACACGTAGAGTGAACAACGTTAGAATAATTAATTGGGTACCTGATGAGTCATCGAGAAGCACCATTGCTTTCCAAGATTAAAGCATGTTAATTATTTATTTATTGTGAGAAAAAGAAGGCAATTAACTAAATACTGCTTGAAGGAAAATGAGTTTGTAATGTCTGTTATTTAATTAAAACATATAAAAAGGAGAGAGAATAAAGCAAGGAAATGTTTAAACTTTGTTAAGTCATGAAAGAAACAACATTAGTTTTCCCTAAAGCATAAAGTTGTATAATAATTAATACCCTTTTAACGAATTTACAGATCTTTTAGAAATTGGTAATTAGGACTATTAATTTGTTTTTTCGCTAAATTGGAGAAGGTAGGAATATTATTTGAATGTTGTACAAGAAAAATATAAATAACTTCATGAAACTAGCTTTTCCAATAAAAGATCAATTATTTTAATTGTGTGATGGAAACATGCAAGACATGTATCATGCTTGTTGCTGTGATACAACTAAAGGTAACAACTTTAGGTTAATTAATTGGGTGATTCATCAAGAAACAACCCTGCTTTAAATCTAATTGGTAAAGCATAAAGTTCTTTGCGTATTGTGACAGTATGAAATCAACTATTGCTTTAACAAGTTAGCTAATCTTTGGACCCTAGACAATTTAGAATTTATCCTTTTTTTTCCTTTCACAAAAGGATAAGGGCTTGAAGGCTATTTATCATTAATATATAATTAAATACTAAAAAAGTTAGAGCTTGCCCCTATCTTTGTTATTATAAGTCATCTTAAGCTGGCCCTAAATGGATATCTTATCATTCCTATTAAAAAAAAGTATGTTAATTAATTAAAGAAAAGAAAAGGAGAGAGAATAATCATGCTGGGATACTTTTCTATACTACATGGGAGGGGAAAAAGAAACGAAGCCTAAATCTTGTTTTCCTGCTTTAGCTAGTTGATTGATCAAGAATTTACTTCAAATCAGTATTTAACCCTTGTTATAGCGTAGAGTCGAGTTTTGACAGCTGATATATTACAAATAATTATTAGCTTATTAAAAAAAATCAATATCATACAAGTGTATTTGTATACTATAATTTAGATAAAAAAATTCCTTAAGGAATTTAACCCATGATTTTTTGATGACTCACCTAGTTAATTACAAACCTTTCTTATTAGGGTTTCAATTAATGTAGACTAGCTATGCTTAATGCCTTGTAATTATCCTCGTGATCAATTGCTGTGAATGTTTTTGTTGGCATATATGATATTCAAGTTATACAACTTTGAAAAGAATCCAAAAATATACATTCCAAGGAAACAAATTATCAGACACAAACACTATACAAACTTTTTGCATAGAAAATTTTTACGAATTTTTACTGGTAAATTATAAAAAAAAATTACCACCTTAATTATAAACCTGATGAATGGAAAACGCCAATATGATCTTAACTCGATCAGGATAACTTTGCTTCTCCAATTGATGAAATTAGACATGCCGTAGGCAATAGCTAGCAGCTTCTGGAAGCTTTTGGCCCAACTTGCTGCAGCCCCTAAATTGGTATAAAAATTGGAAGTCTTCACTTAAGATCTTATTTTGACGGGACCTGTGATTGTGAGTAGGAAAAGATAAGCCAACTGGAATGACTTGCTTAGCCCTTTAAATTGACTTGTAAAATGGATGAATATCCAAATTGAAATGATCTGAATGACCTGAAATTGAACCTTGATATTTATCTTTAGCAAAGTAAACCTCGCAGACTCTAAACATGAACATGATCCAAATTTAAATCCACCTTTGTTCATGACACAAAAATTATGAAAAAAGAAACAAATTGATGCTGTTTAGTATGCGCTTTGTAGAATTTACCAATCTCACAGTGATTCCAGCACAAATCAAGGCTTTTTTTTTCTTTTGAAAGTTACCTCAAATCAAGGCTTTTTAAACTTTTTTTTTTGTTAATATAGTCAGGGATATTTTCAAATTTAATCTAGGTCTAAATTTTTTTTCTGGACAATGCGCACTCTCCTACCTTGGCATGGTATATATATTTAAGATTTTACTCTTGAAATACCCCTACAAAGATCAAACAAGTGGCCTTGCTCAGCTAAGGAAAAAAAAAAATTCTTGCTCAAAATTCAGAAAGCATATATAATTTACAACAAAAATTAAAGGTAAATTAAAAATAATGTGCCTTTAAAAAGAATGGAATACATTTTTTCGTATGAATTTCATCAAGGCAAAATATAGAAATAACAAGAATTCTTTTCTCACAATTCTGTTACCGTAAGTGCTTATATCATTTTCATGACCCAATTTGATCTAGTCTAACAGAAGAAATTTTCTTAGAAACTTCCTCCTCTAGACTAATGCATGTAATCTGACTTGACTATGTTGGAAGCATATGTAATCATCAAGTCACCTATACAAAGGGCGGTGTACATGTAGAATTCAAAGTTGTGTAGTTTCCATATCACATTTTATAGTGACTGTCACCCTTAAAAAATGGATGCCGGTTGCTAGTCTTCTTGTTGATCGGAGGCCTCCTACTCTAACATAACATTCCTATAATCGAGGCGCATACTGAAGCTGCACCTCTTTCATCCTTCTACGCAATTCCTTCCTATGAATTTCCGTTTAAGTTCAAGGTTGTGTCCAAATGGAAAACTTTGCAGTCACCGCAGTCACCTAAGACCAATACCCCTCCTAGTCAAAAGAGACGTTATCTGCCTTCTCCACCACGATAATCATCCTATTTGTGAGCACCCATGTCAGTTTAGGTTATGGCGTTGTGCTACTTTCTATGGGCTCTCATCAACTTAATCAAGAGCATGTTTATTTGCATGACATATAGGTTTGTGTAACTTTCTTTTTGAGTTTGTAACTTTGACCGTGGTCTTTCAAGCCATGAGAGAAAACATTTGTTGTACCTTAGTAATTTGAAATTAGTATTGTGTATGAAGAAGATCTTTGATATTATTATATAACATTTGAAGATGAAGTATTGAATTCCTTAATTGATCAATTTAGTTGCATTTAATTTGACTTTGTTCACTAGATATTGATAAAAGTTATAATTAGAATGCTTCATGGCTTGAAAGATTTTACCTGCTGGAGTTCATTGAAAGCAAACAAAAAGCCATCCTAGAGTATGCAAAATTGATCGATTCAATCAATGTTTTTCACAATAAAATCCAACAAACTTACTTCCTTGACATGATATGTAAATATAGAAGGTAAAGAGATCATATTCAATGGAAGAAAATTTACCCAATACATAAGAATAATGCAGAAGATATTCTTATAATTAAGAAATTTTATTCATGACTTTCCAATCATGAAAACTTATACGGACGTATTGAGGGAGGAGTAAAAAATACTGATTAAAATTCGGAAAAGTGACACTTATAACTAAACTAAATATCACTAAACTATTGACTTTAATCTTATTCGTAAAGGAGTTGTCACAAGAGCAGGCCTAACTCGAAATTAATTTGTAAAATCAAAAAAAAAAAAAAAAGAAACTAAACTATTAGTTGCTATCTTTAACAATGTAAGAGATATAGACTCTGCCCCAAACATAAGCAACGTGAATCTCACTTCGGTTAGACTGGTGAATAAGGGTACGTAAGAAAAGGTGAGCTAACTCAAATCACTTCCTTAACCATTAATTTGACTTGACTTGACTTATAAAATCAACGAAATGACTCAAATTGAGATTGTTCAAATGCAAATTTCAAGAAGTAAAAAATAATGAAATTATACATATGTATAGTTCTTTGTGAATTACATCAACGAGTAGCAGTAACAAGAGATCTTTTCTCATTTAGTTTTATTATTACAAACACTTTCCTGAATTTAATCAATATTTTTTTAGTACAATCCAAATGCAACAATTTCATTTTGTTAGCTTTTCAAGTAACAATCACTTTCCTAAGCGGCTCCCAGGACTGTGCTTATATTTCTTTTATCTATTTTAATTTTCTAAAGAAAAAAACAATTACTTTCCTAACAATGAGATTCCCATGGATCTTTTTTTCTTGGGAAGGCACCAAACAGCCTCTACATGACTTTCGACCAGATTATAATCCAAAAAAATGGAAAATAAAAGAAAGAAGCTTGGAAAATTCATGGTGTAGGCTGTTGTGACCAGCCTGACTTTGTAGGCAACATAACCAACAAGTCATGAATATGGCACTGCCTATATAATGGGTTATTCTCATACAACAAATGCACAGTTGTGTAGTTGCCTTTGCCATATCATATTTCATTGTCTAGCCTTGTAACATTGTCAAGCCAGTAAGAAATGGAAGCCATTAATTCTTGGATGCTGATTTTCATGTTGATCGTGGGCGTCCTACTTTCACACAATACTCGCATAATCATCGAGGCCACAGAAACTGTTCCCGATTCTTCCTTTAACAATTAACAAGTACTACTATTAATTAGTTACTACTAGAATTTAGCCCCCTGCTTTGCTACCAAGATTTTTAGTTCATGCTTTTAAATTATTGTGATCCTAGAT